ATGTATAGTTTATAGCCTTCCTCAGAACCTCATTTGAAATATTAGAATTATTGCTTTAAAGATAAACATCCAAGCTTCTTCCTGGCACTTTTTTATATTTCAGACCAATAGAGTTGTAAAGCTTAATACGTAGGGTTGAAGCAAAATTGTGCAAAAATTGTGTAAAAGATGCAAAAATAAATAACTTAATTAAAAAAAATGGTTAGTGGCACAAAATAGTAAAAGGCTAATCGTTATTTGTAACTATTTGAAATGAAATTATAAAACTAAAATTTTATCAACCAGGAAACTCCCATTGAGATCACAGATGTGTTTTGCAAGGAAGGCCTGGGCCTGGAGGCAGCCCAATGTTCATGTTTGGACTGAGGAAACCGAAATAACTGGTAAACATAGAAGCACATATAAACTCCACACAGAAAGAGCCCAGGTCCAAACCAGGAATTGAACCCAGGACCATCTTACTGGGTAGCATCAGTGCTATCCACTAAGCCATTGTGCTGCTTAAACAATTTTTAATTGTTATAATAATTAAAGGACCCGTGGATTACTGTGTTTTTAAGGTGATTCTTTGCTCACCTTCACTTCATCTTTTCCACAGCACAAAGAGAAAACAAAAGTCAGCTCATCTGAGGACTTCACACCAAGAAACAGATTCCTGCTCAGCCATGGCGGACCACAAGTAAGTTTTAAATTCTAAATTTCATTTTTTATGTAACTGATTTCACATCTGTTGCCATCTCTTGCTTTATGATTCATGCCCTTTAAAAATCCTCAGAGGTCTACTTATACACTTCTTTTTGTCTGAACACAACATCTATCCTTTCACACAGATTGTAAACATTGCAACACTACTAATCTTTCTTGTTGGATAATGCAGATGATATCTTACAAAAAGCTTTAACCAAAAGCAAGTTAGGTCTTGAGCTCTTTGATGATTGTTTTCTGCAGAAAAGTCTGCACTTGTAAGTCATATAGAAACAACATATTTCTGATGAAAACCCTCCTATTCTTTTCCTGGTCTCTAGTTGTGGGGCATGATGGTTTTACTTTGCTCTTTTCTTTCAATCTATCAAGATTTTCCTCTTTATTGTTATTATTTTGAACATTTTCTGTTTGAATCGTCAAAGATCTGATAAAACCGAGGTTTTAATAGATGCACATTAAATCACAGCAATGGAAAACTTTTCACTTCACTTGAACGACCAGCAACGTTTTATTTTATTTTTCAGAGATAACATCGATGACTTTAAAGTGCAGACAGCCAAGCACCCAAACCACAGCTCTGCCCCTTTACGGCCGCACACAGAACAGTCCAAAGACCGAGCATCCAAAAGGCTTTCAACGGACTCGAACGGCACCAGTGATGGAGGCGTGGGCTCGTCCACACCGGTGGAGCTGACCGCTTTGGAAGAATCGTTTCGACGCTTTGCCATCCATGGTGACACTCGCGCTACCGGCAAGGACATGCACGGCAAGAACTGGTCCAAACTCTGCAAAGACTGCGGCGTGATTGACGGCAAGAGCATCACCCTCACTGACGTGGACATCGTCTTCAGCAAAGTCAAGTAAGAAAGCGACCAACGATATTGTTCAGAATGAAAACCATTGTTACAAATTGCTCAGTGCTGTGAAGACGAACTAATAAACGTGTTTTAGCCACTTGTATTTGGCCAGATCCTAAATCAGGTCTTCAAAACCTGGGTTGAAGCCATAGATTTATGTTTCCAAATGGCTAAAAATGATGTTTGGCAGACGTGGTTGTGGAAACAACGTGTAAATGAACTCTTCTGAGCAACAAGCCTTTTTTTAATTACTAACTGTAGAGTTCAGATGATTTATCGTCGTAGTTTTTGTACAAAGTCATTCATCTCTAACTACATTGTAAACAAAGAAAGTACACGAGCAGGGCAGTTTCCACAAGTAATTTTAAAACTTGCCGTTTCTTTCATGTCTGATTTTGATTCAGATGCTGCCGTCCATCAGAAACGGCAGTTGTGTTGTTTATTTGTCATATGTAGGTTAACACAAGGTCAACAGTGCAATGTGCAATGAAATGTTCAGGATGAGAAGCACAGATTCAACTCGATGAAAAAAATAAAAAATAAATAAATAAAGCATGCAATAAGGGTACAAAATAAAGTACCAAAAAGTGAAAAAGCAATATAATATTTGCAAGGTCCAAGAGAAATGTAGTAAACAACAACATAGTAGAATATAATGGTGTAAGTAGGATGTATTAGTAGTATTTCACAGCTTAAATGCACATGATGTATATTGCACATAACTAACATTTACTACACAGGTTGTGTGACATTGAGATGAATTATGATGGTAAGGTAGTGACATACATGATATGCAGCCAGAACAAAAAGGCAGAACGCAGCTCATCGTGTAATTCCTCAGGCTGCACTGATTCAGACTTTCCTGTTTGATTTCAGTGACGTGTAGTCCAGTAATGAGCTCTGACCTCAATATTGTTCGACATCTGGAGACCAAAATTATTTGGCACGGCTGTTTTTACAAAGTGCCCCGAGAGTTTAAACTATTCAAACCTCAACATATGAGAGTAATTATGTATGAAGCACACCCATTAAATAATTTATATTAGCAAATTACTGGTATTACATCCTAGAATGCAATGTAAGAAAAGCTGTGTAGAGGGACATTGGCTTAAAAAATGAGATGCTGTTGCCTAGCAACAGCTGAGAAATGATGTCACATGTAATGTCGGCAGAGGCTTTGGGTCATATGTGTGTGCTGATCTCACTGATGATGTTCCAGGGAAGTGAGAGCTCTTTCATGGTAACATTTCAATCCCTCCTCCTTTACTCTTTCTGCTCTGGCTGCAGTTTCTGTTGTTTTCTAAAAGACGGGGAGAGGTGCGCTCAATCTGGGAATATGCCAGCAATTTTCAAAATGGCATCGTTTTATTTTCTTGTTTACATTTTTTTCTAGTGACAGAAGAATCTAAATCGGTTCTCAAACTGGGGTCCCCGGAACCCCGGGGGTCTGCGAATCAGTGCTTGGGGGTCTGCCAATTTTTTTTATATATATTTTTACAAGCATGTAGATGTTTAACAACCTGTTAAAATACACCAAAATGTAGGAAATCACATCTACTTTATTCAAAATTTTCTGTGTGTCTTGAATGAAAAATAACCCATGCTTAAAAGTATAAAAATTGTATTAACACTATTAAAGAACAGGTCTTAATATTTATGTTACACAAATATTTCCATTGCATTAAAGAGACAAATTGAAGAAAATTGTTTAATATACATGAGGGTTATGAGGGGATCCCTGAAACTTTTTCTCAAACTATGTGCCACTTACAGATGCAATAAATTAATTAATAATATCCAATAAATGTTTTTTTTATACCTTATGTAATTTCTTTGAGTATTATCAGGCAAACACTGGGCTGTAAAGATGTGAAAAATGTAAATTTTGAAGTTTTACAAACTTAATACTTTTTGTGTTTACAACAAACTTGCTTTTAGCGGCTCACTTCTCAATGACAATGCTTACTTGCCTCCCTAAAATAAGTTTTATAAGCAGAAAAGCTGTTGAGAGAAAAGTTGAGGAATAATGAAAAGTAGTAGCTTGACCCTATTTTACCTTTTGTTAATAATGGCTAGTATTATAAAACTTCTCCTTTTGGTAAAAGGAGGCAGTTATTTAGTCATGTGACATCTATAAAGTATAAATTTGTCTTTCAACCCATTTCCCTAAAATGAAGAATTGTAGGTAAATTAAAAAAGGTGCATTTTAGATGCTTATTTCCACCTAAAATCATCCAAAATTCCCTTAAAAACTAACTACGAGTCAGATAATTGTAATAAAATCAAAACCTTTCTTTGCGTTTGTTCCCATATACATAATAGCAGATATGAAATGACTATATCTCAAGTTTTTGATGGGTTAAGCAGATTTGAAATGAACAGTGATCAGTCTTCCATCTACTTCTAGAAAACATGGATTAGTCACTCCATTCATGCGGGTGTATGAGCTAAATATACAAATTCACATTACATACTGTATGTTGCGTCCAAATCGTCACACTAACCGTTTCTTTTCCTGACCGTTAGGATTTGTGGTTTCGTCATCTAACACTTTACTTGGTGAGGATAAAAAGGACCTTAAGGATGACTAAGAACCTTGTTTACATCCCGCTCTACTGGCATCCAGATATATACAGGGATGTGTACATTTTACAGGATCTGAGGCGTCTAATTTAGTCCCGTCTACGTGTTTACAGCTGTAGAGGAGAGGACAGTAAAATCTGTGTTCACAGCCACTCACAGGAAAGTTACAGTAGTGGAGGAGGGGCTCGTTTTTTAAGTGGTTTCTGACTCAGGCGTGTGGGAGCGGGGGAGAGCTGTACACGTCCAAGCAAAAAAATTAAACATCTTAATTAGCACTGGCTTATCAGAATGGCTGAGTCTGTATTTATTAAGGGTATGAAGGTTTGTCTGCTCTTACAGAACTAGAATCATCATAAACAATGAAGCAGAAATCTAGTAGTTTTTGGATGTATTGGTATAATAAGCCGAACTCTGGTATGCTTTGAAAAACTGAATGTCAGTAAGAAGATCCAGTTATCTGCTTTGAACAGAAGCAGAAAGTTCAGTGTTCCTTCTGACTTTAGTCAAGTTGGGAACAGACTCAGAAGGAGTGAGCTCTCTGATGTTCATCACTAAAATGTTGCTCACAGAAACTGAGTCAACAAACGAGTCCAACCGATAAAAAACCCCTAAACCTTTCTGTTTGTTGTAGCTCGTCTCAACGACACCAGGTTGCCTTGGGAGATTTTAGGCTTGAGAGTTTGTTTGGTCAATTTATCACCACAGCAATGGCTGTTTGTGATACTAAGTGCTTTTAATGCAGAAGTGAAACAACAAAAAAAGAGGCAGCTAGACATCGGATGGAGGCTTGGTGAGGAGATATGTGTGGTGGTATTTTCACTAAATGCAGTGGCGTAACCCTCAGTCACTCGGTTGTATTCAGCAGGTGTAAATGTCGACTGAAACCAGAAACATCTTGAAGCTTTTGGAGCAGCTAAAAGTCTCAGGAATGTGCTCTGAACAGGGGAAGATCTTTTATTATCTTACTAGATCATCATAGATCTATTTTCATCACATTAGCCACTTATTCATGTACATACTCTTTTTACCATTTCAGACGGCCTCTCGATAAAGCAAGTCTTAAAGCAGTAGTTCAAATATTTCTTAACAAGATTCTTTAGAAAGTTCAATATTACTTCTTCACCTTTTTGGTGTAGATAGATCTTTGAATGTTTGGAGAAACAGGGTTTAATTCAGATTGGAGTGACGAGCTAACAGCTAGTTTGAGCGATGGCAAGACCAAATCGGGCTGCTGCCATCTTAAAACTCAAATTTCAAAATTATTAAAAGGTTTATGTGAACCCTATTATATAAACTGTAACATTGCCATTATTTCTGCACTACACATAGAAAGTTTATGATTGTTTACAAAAGAAAAAAGCAGTAGCAGCAAGCTAGCTGCTGCTCTTTGGTACAGTTTGGGGCACTTCCTGTAGGGTTATCACTGTGATAATGATAATCACGTTATTATACAGAGGTGCAAAAGTTTAAAAAATATTGTCTGAATCAACGGATATGACATTTTTGAAGCTGGAGTTACTTTTAGAAGGCATTCATCCACTTGGGTCCCATTTGGACTAGCCGTTAGCTCATCAGTCTGGTCAGGTTTATGCCCAATCCCTTTACCTTGAAATTGTCAGCTCTTTGGAATAACATCAGTTTTTCAAATGCAAGTAAAAAAAAAAAAAAAAATGTATGACTTATTTGTGCATACAGTTGGGCTATTAGAGAGTCAGAGTCAGAGTTTCTTTATCGTCATTCGCACCTCATGCGGTACATGTGATGGAGCGAAATTATGTACACAGGGTCCCAAAACAAGTCAATATCAAAACTTCTAAAAACTGGGATAGTACCGGGAGCCTGTGAAGCTGCAACTGCTCTGAGCACGGCCATCTTGACATTTTTTTTTCTATTATTAGGAATACAAGCCATTTCCAATGTTTTTTAACATTCAAAACAATGTAGTAACATTTCCTCGTACTAGTACCGTCTCCAAATGATTTAATGAGATGCAATAGAGAAATTCATTACTGCAGCTCGGCTGTCACAGCTTTGCATGTGTTAAGCAGCCATTTTAATTTCTATGTCAAGTGTTTTTTTTTTAATTCATTCAGCCTTTATTTAAACAGATAAATCACAATGAGCCTCAAAGACTCATTTACAAGTGAGAGCTGTTTGAACAGACAATAATTGGTGAAAGTGACAACATAGGTTTTGGAGGCAAAAAAAATTCCTAGCATGCTCTTAATCTTTGGCTGAAGATTAAAAGTATGAAAATGAAAAACAAAAAAAATCTTGCACACATATGACATAATGACACCGACATTCAGAGACGGCACACACAGGCAAGATTTCCGATAAGAGTGGGAAATCGCTCAAGTGCACATAGTTCCCTCTGGAGTGATCCGTACACTCTTGGAGGGTACCGAGAACAGCCAAGGATGACGTCAGATAGAATCCAAAGTGTCCTGAAATGATGACAGAATGTTTATTCAGCTGGGCCCCTTTGATTGGTCCATAGGTTTACAGAGCTTCCAGGCTAATTCAGATAAGGTAGCCTGTCAAGGCCAGTCAGGGAGCCAAATTCAGATAAACATGATTGTTTTGGGGACAGGCAGAACTTTACTGATTATGTCTACCTTGAGTCTGTGTCGGTCCTCTCGGTTCCGAAACATCCCAATTATATGGCCACACCACTGGACCGTACCAAAGAGTATTCCCCAAGATCTGATCCATCCTGCCAAAAGCATTGAGTCTGGGCACTCGAGGCACGAACCAAGCCATCACATAAGGCAGGTAGCCTGACCAGGGCCAAATTTTCTGCTGACGACTTCCTTGTTTGTTGGTTTTGGTGAGGAATCTCAAACTTATGGAGTAAAAATTTCAACTTTGTGGGTGGCATTAAAGTTGATTTATCTATTACATTTGGCAATTCTTACTTCTGAGTAACAAACACTATTTCTCTACATTGAGCGCATTCGAGGAGCTATCTATTACAAGAAAAATAGTAATTGTTCAAACCTTTCTACAGATCCCCCACTTCAAAAGACCTGAACCATCCCAGCAGTTTTAGTTTCTGGAGAACTAGTTGGGCTCCAAAATGTGACAAGTTGGATGCCATACTCAAGCTTGGTTTTTCTCCTACGTTTCAGGAAGAAATCCTGTCGCACCATCACATTTGATGAATTCAAGGCTGCACTTGGAGAGCTGGCCAGGAAGAAACATAAAGACAAGAGCGGAGAGGAGGCCGAAGCCGAAGTCTTTAAGCTGATCGAGGGGAAGGCGCCGGTCATCGCAGGAGTCACAGTAAGATTTTATTTGTGCGATTCACAGATATTCACGTCTGTTTTGCAGGAGGTCGCAGCCACAGCTCAAATGTCGTTGCAAATTTTCTGACAGAGAGCCGTGGCCTCTCCCACAGTGAGCCGTCTCACAGACACCAGCAAGTTTACGGGGTCGCACAAGGAGCGCTTCGATGAAACCGGACGCGGGAAGGGGAAGGCTGGGCGCGTGGACGTAGTGGACACGTCGGGCTACGTCTCGGGATACAAACATCGAGGCTCATACGAAAAGAAAGTGAACAAACCCGGCGAGGGTAGACCCATGTGAAGGCCGACGTTTCATCAACCGCCAGGATGATTTTTTTAAGAGTACTAAAAGAAAGCACAAAAAAAAAAAATACAATTTCATATCTTTACTCCACCTGTTTATTTTATGTAAGTTTGTGTTTGTGAGAGAGTTCCTCTCTTTGTGTGAGAACTGGAAAACTGTTTACATCTATTTTTACAAAGTCATCACCAGCTGGTACATTCCTGTCTGATAGCAAGTGACTGCCAAACAGAGAAACTGCTCTGCTACGAAAACTCTTGTTACGATAGGGCCCTAGAATATTTACCAAGCACAATGAGCAAGATGCCAAGAAAAAACAGAAGCGGGACAACAGCTTGATGATAAACAATGTTGCACTTTTTAATGAAAACGTCTATAACCTATAGTTAGCTGACAAAAAGGCATAGGTGATTACGGTAGTTTTGCAGTGTCAAAGATGAATAGCACAATGTTTTTGGACAGAGATATACTAACATTTCTATTTTTACTCAATTGCATTTTCAGTATTGTTTGTTTGTATTTTGCACTTGTCAATTGTTGTTTATTTAAAAGCTCTGCTGTTCAGTTTTTAAATTATTCTGAAAGGGGTTTTTTTATTTGTATGGAAGTCCTGAAAGGCCAAATAAAAACTGAAGATATATTCCAAAGGAAAACTTGATTTAAACGCAGAGCATCGATTATCTAAGTTCAAATATTCTAGTTTTACAGATAAAAGAAGTAAAAAGTAAAATAAAAGTTGCCCTTATTTTGTTCCCATGCATGCACACACACACATATATTTTCCGCCGTACACGTCGCACCGCCGTATAAGTTGCATCAGTCCAAATATGTCTAATAAAATGGAAAAAATACAAACATGTCGCTTCGCTGTATACGTCGACTCTATTATGCATCACCACTGACACATCGTGTTTGTTACGCGTCACCACTGACCACCTGGAAATGTGGGCCGGTGTTGTGCCAAAAATCGATTGGCTGCCAAATGGTGGCCGCGGGAGCGTGCACGGGAGGACTTTAACAAGTTAATAAGATTAACACTTAAAAACAATTTGTTTGCTCGAAATTATAGCAAAGGTGTGTCTCAGTTTAACTTTTCCTTAATAAATGCACTTTGACGGTCAAATCAGACTGCTGGAGCGCAGAGGGAGGACTCGCTGTGCATTTCTTTGAAATTTAACAAGCACCTAACAATAATTATTTGTTTGATCGACTTTATAGTAAAGGTGTGTCTCAGTTGGAAGTTTTCCTTATTAAATGCACTTTAACAGTAAAATCAGTTGCATTTCGCCTGGGCAACGTGGCAAAATGCAGCTGATGTGACGTTTGCTCCAGTAGTTCTGGAGCGAGACAAAGGTAGCTATATATGGCAAGCCAAGTGTCTCATTAATAGCCACTTTTTCCTATTAATGAGACACTTGGCTTGCCATATCACTCGTCCGCCCTCTAGTGGCTGAAAACGGTAGTGTTCAATATTTCAGAATGAATGAAATCGTCAGATCTCAGACAAAAATTGTGTTATAAATATGAGAAAAAAACAAATAAGTCACCGCTGTATAAGTCGCAGGGCATGCTAATTTATGCAAAAAGGTGCAACTTATACAGTGAAAAGTATGGTGTATATGTATGTATATATATATATATATATATATATATATATATATATATATATATATATATATAAAACGCAACACACTTTTTTGAAGCTTTTCTGGACTTCCATACACTTGCATAAAAATATACGTGTTAACAGCTTGTGTTAAAATCTGCCATAATCTCACTTTTCCTCCTTTTATGTAAAACATATTCCCTTTCATGCAAACTTTATTAGATTTGTCTGAAGCTTTTAAGCCAAACATTACCTCCTGACAAGTCTTCACATGTAGTTTCATACAACCCAAACCAACAAACATTTTGAGTAATTGAACTTGTGATTTCAACTAAAAGCAGAACTTCTACTCGTACCTAATAATGAGCACAGTTGTACAAGATTGTATTTTTGCCATTTTACTTTCTATCTTCGATACAGTATTTCTAATATATTTGTGCTAAGATGATGTATATGTTCTAAAAGGCTTCTGCCACATGATCTAATGTAAGACACTGATTTTTGTTGTTTTCTGTGTGGCTGTTTTTGTGCATGTTCTGTATTTTGCATTCGATTCAGAAGCATATAGATGACGGTTTGCCTCTTTCCGAAACTGCTGTGCCTGCTGTTAGTCCAGACTACTAGTCAGATTTATTTTTCTTGCTAAAAAAAAAACAAGTATTGAAACTGTGGGATCATGATCAGATTATTGCTTGATATCAGTGTGTATCAAATTGTACGTGTAAAGAGTAAGCTATCCTCTAACGCTGTTCTATTTGTTCGTACCTTTTGTATGTGGTGCTGTCATCTAAGGCACAGATCTAACTCAAAAACGCAGAGTTTATTGTTTACGTACATAACGTACCTGACAAAGGGAAAATTGCAAACATGCTCTTTTGTAGAATATTTTTCCAAGATGACCGTATTGTGTCTAACACACTACCTGTAGCCTGAGCTGATGAAGAATCGTGCATTAAGTTCAAAACTAGCAGTTCTTTGTATTAGATTTTCTCGGCTGCAGTAGCCTGAGTATTTTTTTTTCTTCTGTGCTTAATGCCAAATACTGTGCACCTTTAACGTGGAGGAACAATTGTTTTATTTCTTTCAAATAACCTTAAATTTCTATTGTGCCCTGAGTGCATGCAGTGTTATTTTTTTCCTTGATATTTCTATAACTGCGTACTTGATTTCGTGCATTATCGAAAAATAAAAATACAAACAAAACCAAACTAGAACCTCAGATGCCCGTTTTACTCGTTTGGCTTTTTTGCAGGGACGCCGTGCAGCAGTCCAACCAGCCGCTGACCTGTAAAATTCAACCAAAAGCTGCATTCATCCTGTGCAGCACATACATTTAAAGCTGGTCTGACGAGGTTTGCATTCAGGTTTGCGAGAGGAAAGTGGAAGTGTCTGAGCAGCGCTCCAGCCTTGAGGCAGAGGTATAAATAAAGTCACAGTGCAGCTGCAGTCTTGAAGCATTCATCCCGCCGCCGTGCACAAAGCCCATGGATACTCAGCTGACCTAAAAAGAAAAGAGACACAATCTTGCCACAGATCCAGGAAACACATTATGACCTTCTCACAGTTTCCCCTTAAAATCATTTGTTAACATAACAGCCAGACACGCACTTATATACAAAGTTTGGTGAATGAATTGCCGTTCCCTGTTGGGTGTTTACATCGAGAAGACAGCTTATACATATTCCTTCAAGGTACGAAGCGCCTCATCAAAAAGGAATGATCTGGTCCAGTGCAAATGTATCCTGGTGATATATGAAGAGAAGAAAACCTGAAGACACTGCACCTTGTGCTTATTTGATGCGTGGCAGAATCTTGCTTTGATGTTTTATCCCGGTTTGCACAACTTCCTTCAAATGTGGCTTTAATGCTCTCCACTTCCCCTAAGCTCAGCAAGCAAGCGCTCGTTTGTAGCCACCAGGGACCTGCAGCATAAACACAGACGGCAAATCATATAAACAACCAACAAGGCAGATGATTTAGACGCAGGTTAGCATTACTGTACTCAGCGTGGGTGTGAATGTGTAGGAATCCCGAGTCAGCACTGAGACGGGTGGATCTTCTTACCTGTGGCTTTCTTGGAGCATGTTTGACAGTTCCTGGACTTTTTCAGCCTCTTGCACTTTCATCTTCAGGCATCCGATCTCTCTTCTCAGCTCCTCCACTTCTGTCTGAGCCTCTGTGGATGGTCAAACAAACAAATATAGTTGGTAATAAAAGACAGCTGAATGGTCCACTCATGCACGTCAGCAGCTGCACCTACCTCGTATCTGAGCAATGGGTGAAACCTTCGTCATGGACTTGAGGTGTTGGTGTTCCAACTTGAGGAGTTGTTTTTGCAGAGCGACGTTTTCCTCCAGGACAATCCTGAGCTGCTCGTTAAGTTCGCCCTGCGTTCAATGCAACACAACAATAAACACTGAACTGCTCTTGTTTCTTCTTTTTATTGGAAGGAAACCCACCGCCTCTCTTTGAGTGTCCTCCAGCTGAGCAGAGAGGTTTCGGACATGATTTTTGTGTTCTTCCTCTCGTGCAGCCACTTGAAAGCTGAGTGCTTCAACATCCCGTCTTAAGGTCCTGACCTCCGCCTCCCGGCTGGAAATGTCGCTCTCCATCATGGAGAGGATCTGGACAGCCTGAGCTAGAGACAAAAATAGACGAGATGGGAAAGTTTCATCATTTTAGCGTCTCAAAATCAGATTCCACATTCCGCAAACAAAAGTCCAACTCACACAGGAAGCTGTTGTTTTGATGCAGAGATCTCTCCCCCCTCCAGTGTTTGTCCACCAGATCAAGGAGCATCTCCAGAGGTTTCCGATAACTGCCCTGAGAGGAGAATTCAAAGATGCTCTAAACCGACATCAGAGCAGTCTTAAATAAACTATTTATGATCCAGATTGAAAGTCAGTAACAGAAAAAAAAGTTGCCAACAACCTTTTTATTCTTTTCAGCTTGCTGCTGCTGGTTGGTTCCCGTGTCTGCCTTCTTGAAGCTCAGCCTCGCAGGATGCAATATGGGATTAGACGGGTCTGAGAGACTCAGACCAGGACGAAGTGGACTGGGAGGCCGAATGTTAATGAATGAAGAGACATGACGGTGACTTTGATCTAGAAAAATAAGAGTAAATCCACATTCACTAGCGTCTCGTTAAAGGATATTTTGACAGTGGAGGATTTTCTAAAACTTAAAGGGCCAATTAATTATAGAAATATTTACCAGGATTTGGTGTAAAATACCCCTTGGCCTTGTGTTTAGTTTGTTTGAGGTCCTTTTGCTTTCCAGGCATGGTTCTGTATTTCTCAAACACAGGGCCAAAAGACACTTTTGGTCTTTCGGCCATTTTAGGTAAAGTAGAGCTTTTAGTATGAGGTAGTTCATTCATCAGTGGCCCCCCTGAATCAGTCTGATCTGGAAAAAAAACCCCACAAAAGTACAGTTATCTACTGCAAATGTTTTGGCCTTCTATGATGATGATGGAAAAATGGAAACTTGGTTTATGTCGCCCTCTAGTGGTAATAAAATGCTTTGCCCACATGGTCCAACTCAGTCACAACCACCGTGAATTAATGCAGTTTAAACAATCTGATTAAATATTTCGGTTTTTAGTTTTCATATATAGAGAACTGATTTTTTTAAATTATAAATTACTATGTAACAATGATTTTAAAAACGTTTCAGTCAAAAAATGTATTTTTATTTTTGGCAAAGTATCAACTACTTCACTCCCTGCCTATCGGTAACAAACCATACGTTATTTTTACACGCATGAGTTTTTAAAAAGGATAGTGTACAAACTTACAGTTTTTAGAGGAGGGATACCTGAGGATGGATTTGGCTGATTCCTAAAAATCAGAGAGTTATAATTTAATTATTTAAAAATAATATTGTTAGTGTTTGAACATGAGGGGGGGGGGGGGGGTGTCACCTGTTTTGGAGTTGAACTCCTCGGATCTGTAAAATATTTTGTATCTTTCCTTTTAGATTCTAAAAGAAAACAAGAGTTCAAGAGAATTTCAATGCATTTTCTGGAGAAACAAAGTCAGCTGCTGTGATTGTCCTGTTCGATTTGAATATCGTACCTCTTGCTTTCTTGTGAAACGAGTTAGAGGTGGTTTTGTTTCCATCACTATGATCAGTCTCAACAAGGTTTAAAACGATATCGCCGCTGTCGGAAGAGAAAGTCTCGTTGGTCAAACATTTAACTGCAGGCAATCTGTGATCACAGCTTCTGGCAATTAAAAATCAAAAATACGACCAGAGCAGGACTAAAATCACTTCTGGAAATGAGTTCTCATGTTTTCTCTTAGGTGGCTTGTGTTAACAGCACCAACATCATCTTTATCTAACAGAACTCTGAGTTACCACAATGCATTTTACTGAAAGTCTTCTGACAGAAACAAGCAGCCTGTTTGAAAATGTATAAATATATTTATTTGAATAAATACTTTGCAATGACCTCCTACTGCTGCAGACTGAAAAGCTAAAGAGAAACATATATTTTGCTGTATTTATACAGAACTTTATGAGCTAAAAGCATAAACGGTGAGGATTTCCAATTCCTAAAACACAAAGTAGAATATACTTTGGCCACATGCGTCATTTCGTGATAATTACAACTTGATTATCCTGGTCCTTTGTAATCTCAGTGTTGACTCATTTAAGAGAACATATTAACATACATGTGTTCTTCTTTCTTTATGTAGCTTCAACAACAAATGTTCCGTGTTGGTAAAAGTATTCAAATTGTGTCCAAAAAGAAAAACTATAATTAAAATAACCACTATAATTCCTGAATGTGGGAATTTTGGACGTGAATAAACATCAGAATGATTTGAAATGGTAAAACACAGCTGTAAGCTTATAAGTTTTAGTTTCTTAACAACAAAAATATGAGTATCTGCCTTGTTGGTTGATTATGATTAGTTAAAATTAAGAGTAAAACAAGTTAGTTTCAGTTTAGGAATGCAGCTTTGATTTAACGGATTCAACTCGTGTTAAAAGAATATATTATTCAAAAATGTTTCCAAAGTAGATTTTACATTCCTCTCACACATTTACAGAGCTTTCACAAAAACTGAGTGTGAACTGGCATTCATCTTCTTTAAATAAACGTTCAGTTTCTAAATGCAAAGTGACACAATGTAATTCTGCTCCTTGAATCTTTAGCTGATGCTTCCATCAAACTGTACCTTCGATCTTCAGCCAGGCTCAGAGAGGAACTGTGCTGCAGAGCAGGAAGTTCAGAGAACTGCAGCACTGCAGCTTTACGCTCTGTGGCACGGACCGAGCAGTTATCTGTAAAAGCAACAAAGAGGATCCATTTAATCCTTCTGAACCTCTGACCCGACGTAAGCTCAGTGTGGATGAGTTGGGCAACATCTTACCCAGTTTTCTCAGGCTGGGCATGGCGTGCACCAGATAGGGGCGATAGTGTGAGCAGCTTTTGGTCAAAGGGTTGAGCCTGAGGTCCAGCTCTCGTAGAACTGGGAGCTCAAACAGCACTTTCACCTCTTCCAGTGAAGGTACGCAGTTATAGTAGAGGATCAACCTCTCCAGCATCTTCAAATGTTGAACCCCCTGGAAAGGAACAGCTCGTCTTTAGGCAAGAATTAAACCTTTATAGCCTTGAACTTCAGTGTGAGAAGGTGTTATTAAGGTTACAATTGTATTTTTTCAGTGTATTTGATAAACACTAATGTTTGTTATAGAAATCAACAAGATAAAACTATAGAAAGCTGGAAACTCTGAATCAATCGATGCCATTGTCGTGATATTTCCATTGGGTACAATTTAATAGCTGTACAAACAAACACTGCAGGTGGGAAATGTTTGATGAATGAAAAAGATTGAATATAAGATACAGAACAGCATAATAACAATGGATGATGACAAACCTCCACAGAAACGAGAGCATTGTAGGACAGATCCAGAGATTTAAGACGGACAAAATTATTCAAGGCGTTTCCGAGATGTCTTATTTTCTCCTCACAGGTCCCCGGAATGCTCAGTGTCCGAACGTTGCCTGTTTATAAACGAATAATAATAATAATGAAGAGAAATATTAATACAGGTCACTGCTGATGCTACCTGTTTTAGCTCTGATTAGCTTCTCTGTTGATGTTGACCCCCGAGCAGATTGATTTCTCTATTTTTTCCAGCAACAAAATGCAAATTTATTTCCAGAAAACTAACAATTACTTGCTTTGATTCTAAACATCGTTTTCTGTTCAATAAACTTACCGAGAGAAGGATGTTTCAAGTGTAATCTTTCGCGTATCCATTGTTCCGTTAGTGTTGTCAAACACAACGCCGCCATACTTTTCGAACTTTTGATACAGTTAGGTACTGTCGGAAAAAAGAACTTCTTCTTCACTGCTGCCTACATGACGCTATATATATATATGCAGATTTAGTTTGAATCTTGCTTTTTTTACCTTTAAATATATAATTAGGTGACTAAATTATAGATTTCAAATTGTTGCAGTTGGAACAAAATCAAATACTATAATCAAACAACAAAAAATTAACAACAAATGAAATAGTAAACGGTAAGTCTCATAAAATATACTGGTTTGAGTAATTATAGTTTTAAAAAGTGTTTTATCGACGGAGGAGTCATATATTTTACGAGTAACATTGAATGCCTCTATTTGAGCATGCGCAGTAGCACTGTCCATCGGGATTTGTCACGTGTGTAAACAAGCGAACTACTGTTTCCGTATCCTGATGCATGCTCAATAATCTGTTTCCGTAGCTTGCTAATTCTCGCTCTTAGTTTACCCGCGTATTGTTAATTTTTTATAAACGACTCGGTGCCCAACAGTCAGAAAAGTGAAGCAGCTTTAATAACAGAGATGAAACGCGTTAATTTAAACTTTCTCTGACGCTGTTGGACCCTTTTGAATCCGTCCAGTCTAGAACCTGACTTGTTAGACCCTTGCAGTTTTCAGGGATCCATGGCGTTCTGTGTGACGGAGTGGATCACAACTTGTTCCAACATCATCTTGGGTGCCTCGGCACTGCATTCTTCGAACAAGCTTTTTAAGGTAGGGAATATGTCAAACTGTTTATAGAGTGTTTAGCTATGTTTCGCACGTCATTCAGGCATGTTTTATTAGTTGTTTTTTTTATTAGTTGTGAAACAATACGTTGATAACTAGATAACCTATATTTTATACAACAAAAAAATGCAGTGTGAATGTATTTGCTGACGCTAAATCTGACTGAACAGAAGCTAAAATGAGCTGAACTGTAGCAACAACACAAAAGTAGCAAAATGATGACTTAAATGCTACCTAAACTACCTAAAAGTACCTAAATGCTACCTAAACTACTTAAAAGTACCTAAATGCTACCTAAACTACCTAAAGTACTTAAATGCTACCTAAACTACCTAAAGTACCTAAATGCTACCTAAACTACCTAAAAGTACCTAAATGCTACCTAAACTACCTAAAAGTACCTAAATGCTACCTAA